TAGACAAGAATTGCTCTCAAGAGTACATCGACAAAATTTTTGAGATGTTGGATTGTTCGGATTATGCAGTGTCTTACAGAACGGAACCGGAATGTAATAACGATTCGATGACCTCCACGAATCACGAAACATATAAATCAGAAATAATGTCATTGCAAAAGAGTTTAGTTTGTGATGACAACCCCGTGAACACTAATAAGCTTCAAAACAAATCAATGGAATTAAAAAGCTGCACAATAGGACACTCCATCGATCCGGGATACGGAAGCATAAAAAATGATTCTGGTACTATCCAGTTATCGAATTCAGCAAATCTTAGACCGGGACACGACAACAATTCAGACAAATTGGAGAGCGAGATTTATGCGGGTATACGCAAAATATCGATTGAATCAGTTTTAAAAGCTAGAGAATCACCTGGAAAAATATATAAACGTAAAGTGAAAAAGAAAACGACTTATCCGGACACTCAGAAACATGCGATGAATCTGATGTACAATACAAAAGAAATTAAGTCTAGCCATATGGTAATGAATGAAGAAAAAAAATTACTTCCAAATGAATCCTGCGTCAGTATAACAGAAGATGAAATGGGAACAGTACACAACATGAGGAAGTGTCACCAAACAATACCTATTAGTCCAAGATCACAAAAAATGACTTATTCCAGTGGTCGAGAAATAGAGAAAAATTTTGAAGTGTATGAGAAAGGCAAATCTGTAATGCATGTGCAAAATAAACATCCAATTAATGCTTTTGACACACAAAGAGTTAATTCGGATGTTTTTATAAAGGAGCAAAAGATTCCATATAAAGTTCAAAACAATGTACATTCACAGTTTGTTTCAGATGTTGATACTATCAATTCTAATGTCAACATTGTAACCGTAAGTTCACGTACAGCAGGTAGAAATGTAACAGCATCACCAGCTAAGGTGAACCAAGACATTATGACCATCAGCGAAAATGAGTTTTTTAAAAAATCCAACATCTCTTCAAAATTACATAGAGAATTTATCGAACAAACGAAAAACGATATTGTGATGAAAAAATCCAAACCTACCATAATCAGTTCGGTACCGGTAAATTTGAAGATGAGAATAAGTAGAAAAAACTTGAATACAAATACTGAGCAATTGCCTTCCAAGATAATCAACAATGACAATAAACAGAATAAAAATATTCGGCCATCGGAAAACATTAACAAGAACTTCATGTCAATTGCTTCAAAATCTATGGTTAATGATTCTCATACGAAGACAATTGACAATAAAAGAGAGGTTTATCCAATAACAAATAACGATAAATTGTATGATGTAAATTCTACTAATCTGACGACGAATCCAACAACTGAGCAACCTAAAAGCAGCAAAGAACAGTGTGGATTAAAAAAAAATCCCAAAAGGTTGACTGCATGGATGCCAAAAGTAATACGTTATGCAAAATCAAAATCTGGATTAGGTTTAACTTTTCAAGGAAAATTAGTCAAGTAAGTTCTCTCTTAGATAATAGGTATGTCTAATAATCAAATAATTACAGTTACATATAATATATATAATTAATAATTAAACAATATATTTTGTTTTTTCTTTTTACTATATAGTGAAGCTGGCCACGTTATGCACAGAAATTATACGACAGGCATTGTGCTGAAGCGATTATCAGCGACACTAGTCGAATTAGTGAATCATGAATTCTTTGAACTTCTTGGAAATTTAAACGACAATAAGCATAGTAAAGTATCCAAAATCATTAACGTTGTATCATTGTACGTTGATAAATATTTATCAATTAACAATATTACTTTATCATATTTAGTTATTCCCAAGGAACTTGCAAAACAATGTCGTTATGGGTGTCCTTCGATCGAGCAATTTTGTCTGACTTGGAAAACGTTGCAGCAAGGTAAGTTTCTTAAAATATATTTAACTTTTAATAAATATTATATGTTCATGTGTCGCATTTATTTTCGTTTTCTAGATAATATTCAAGAAATTAGTCAGAACTCTCATGATGCAACAGTGGACTCGCTAAATGCACCTGTTAGTAAGAGGGGTCGTCATATTTTACCTCCATTATGTTACTGGACAGGTGAGTAGATTAATAATAAAAATGTGAAAAGATACATTAATTTTTTTACAAAAATAGATAAATAATCTAAAGCTATTTTTTATTATTTTTTTTTACAGGTGAACGTATAACGTTGAAACATAACAATCTAGTCTATAGTCCGGGCAGTTCACAGATATCATCGTTTCGTTCACAGATTGATAACTCAAGAGAAATTCAAAGGAATACTAAGGTAAAAATTTCTATAATTGCGGAAATATTTACATCTGCTTTTATTATAATTGTACATATTTTGTTGTGAAGGATACTGATAAAGAAACAAATAAACAAAATGGGACTTCTAAGAATACATCACAGAAGCAAAATGTAAATAAACAAATAATGCCTGAATCAAATACTTCAGATATAAACAAAAATCAAGTAAGTTTATATAATTATATTTCTGTTAAAAATAAGTTCATTAACAAAAAATTTATGGATTTTTTAAATTTAAACGATTGTTATTGAAAAGACTCAAGATCCTAAAACATCATATAAGGTCAATGCTACGAACAATCCAAAGAGATCTGATAACTCGAGGAAATCTGTCTATCGTAAACGACGGAAGTTGATGAGCTTTCCCGATTCTTCCAGCGACGAAGAGGAGCAAAAAGCATTTCAGCGAAAGGTAACATTGAAATCAATCGTAACAGTTATTTTGCTAATCATATATTTTCAAGAAAGAAATTATATTGTATCTTTTTTACGCAGTATGAGCGCAATTATAAGACAAACAAAAATGTAAATTCAAAATCACGATATACCATGGTATTAAGGGAGCGGCCAAATGTGACATATAATTATTATAAAAGTATATCGAAATCAGAAGACACCCTATCGGAGGACGAAGAATCGGTTGTATAATCTCGGACGGTAATTCCGTATAAATATTATGTTGCTGCGCGTAGCTTAGCGCCGAGATACTACCACTGTCTCAAGATTTTGTGCATTGATAACAAACACGCGAAAATTTAATTTAAAAAAAAAGTATTTTTCTACATATTTATCATCATATATGTATATATTCTTGTGAACAATAATAATGTCTTCTTACGGACTCTCGCAAATTCAACAACAAAAAACTCCAAAAAAACAAGGCGAATGAGAGTCAATGTGGTAATTAATACGCAATCTTAAATCCTCAATCCAAAAAAAAAATCTTTATTCCAAAAAATAGATACGTTTCAGTTCACTTTGGAACCATCTTCAGCAAAACAAAGATATCAATCCCTTCATGTCCAAGAAAAAATCATCATCAGATTAGCAGATTTGATGTTATAATCTATTCGAAACATTCTCATTCGAAACGCTGATTCTCATTCGCCCTGCTTTTTGGAGTTTTTTGTCGTTATCTTGTGAATGTTATTTCTTTTTTTTATAGTCGATAGATACAAATACAAAAGATAATCATCTTTCGTCTTTATTCAAGGATTAAATAAAACATTAAAATTAACTGCAATCTTTAACAATGTCAAGTAAATGCCATTATTTTGAACAATTTAAATATTGTACAGATATTTTCTTATAAAGACTTAAGATATATAAGACAGATTTCTATAGAATATCTAGATCGTTAACGTACTAGTTATGAATTAGTCTGAGGCAAGTTTTTTAGTTATGTCATGTGAATCCATACATTTAATATCTTATGAATCTTGAGACCATTTGGAGTACTTTCATTTTTCTGATTGTGACATAGCAGTCCAGGTATTTATGTATAGAAATCTGTAAACAATTATTTATTATAGCGATATTTATATTTAAGAGATATTATATTATTGATACGATAAGTAATTAGATCAATTCGCTATATTATGAACATAATGGCATCAATGAAAAATATAAAATATTTTTGAACAATAATTCAGTTACAATTATTTTTCAACGCTATCCTATCAATGTCCATAAAATATTATGACTCTAATATAAAATTCAAGATAAAATATAATCTTGTAAAATATTATGATTCTATTTTGACCATAGTCTTATATTTAATATCTTTCTATAGTCACTGATAAATAAGAACCGTTCGTAAATTATAGTAAATTCCAATTTTTTATTCAAATTATTTTTCTCATTGATGCCATCATGTGTAGGAAAGTGAATCAAGAAATTGCAGAGCGTGTTCATGAGGCCTTCATAAAGTTTCCATAAAATTTTATTATGTACATAGGAAGAAACCGCGAAAATATTACATAATAAATAAATTACAGTACAACACCGTAGTTTATAATAACCAATCGACGATTCCTTTCTTGATTCGCAAACAAAATCTCGCGTGCAAGAAAGTGGAATTCACTACGCATGTTGCATGTCTACAGCGATCAATGATCGATTCGACGCGAGCGATCAACGATGTTTTGAGACGCGTACTCTTACTATTTCATACATAGCATGATATGAGACGTAACTAATAAATATAAATCAGCTATGCACAATCCCGTTAGCTCTCGTCGTATAAAGGAGTACCATCTCCGCTGAGGGACATACTCCGTGGACTAGAATTCGTGTGTGGAGTACCTCGCGGAGATTTATACGATGGAGTACGTGTGGAGGGTCTACTCCTTCCGGAAGGCGTCGTTCTGTCAGATGACTCATCATAGCTACGCGGAGTTTTTCTAGACACTTCGTATCTAGGTGTCGATCCGCTGCAAGCACATTTAACCATTGATGATAATCGAACGAAAAACACTGACGTCTTATATACATCAACAATTTTCAATTGAAAAATTGAAAATGATTGTTATTTAATCCGTATTTACTTATTATACTTACGAGACTCGAGGACCGCTTTTTAAACGTGAAAAAATGATTGTTATTTAATCCGTCTTTACTTATTATACTTACGAGACTCGAGGACCGCTTTTTAAACGTGCCCATGCTTCGGCAACTTTCTTCCAATCCATGGGATCACCGGAAGGAGTAGACAGGGGTGGTGTAGGTCTGTGCGATTGAGCAGACCTGTGATGGCTGGGTGTCATCGAGGGCGGCGGCGGATGTACAAAGGGCCCTTGATGATGGCTAGGGGTTTGTTGACCGTATCTGGGAGTGGGCTGGCTATGATGCGGCGTCTGGTACGGGGTCATAAACGGAGTTTGACCAGACGGCGTGTACGGCGTATTGGGATACGTGTGTCCTCCGCCATAGCCGGTAGTACTAGCCGCTCCCGGGGTGTGTGGCGGATAATGATGCGGCGTTTGATTCGCCACTTGTGATAACGAGTGTAACATGTGATGTGGAAGATTCTGTGCAACTCGCTGTATTGCTTCTTGATTCATTCCTGAAACAGTAGCAATTGTAATAGTAATCGACACATATATTTGTACATTTCATTTCACTTATGACAAAATTGCATGTTTGTACTTGTGCGTTTTATTTCATTTCAGCGAATGTATGCGAAAAATAAGTAAAATAATTGATAACATAGAATGTGTGTGTGTGTGTACAGAATGACTTAATTTTGAAAAATGAAGTTTTTTTAAAAAATAAAATATACTATGATTTACTATGGTTTGATCTATACTATGATTTAAGAGTGACTGACAATAGTTTACAGTGACAATGTAGACTTACCGCTGACTGTTCCTGGCGTAGTAGTGTAAGGTGTTCTAGAAGTCATCGCACCGCGCGGTGTACTAGGAGTGGATTGTCCAGGAACGGGATCCCTAAAGTGTTCCTTGAACCAGCGTAATAGGTCGCTCACTCTACCGAACATTTGCGCCCGGAATCTGAAGCCCTCGGATGTCACGGTGACGTACTCGTGACGGCAACGAGTGCGCGGCAGATACGAGAGTAAGAACTTTCCAGGATAAGTCTATGAAAGAAAAACAAACGAAATTGTTTTTTAAATTAAAAATAAAAAGATTTTCAGAAAAATGCTATGTTACATACTAGTAAAAAATTAGCTATATATACGCTTATTTACCTTAGCTGCTGATATGATATATGGAATTCCATTAGGATTCTCCTTTTTCTGTTCTTTTAGTATCTCCTCCGCTTTATCCTTGATTCCCTCTACAGTGGGCTTGTAGTATTTGAAATCTAGCAATTCGGAGGCATAAGCAGCCATAGGATTTACATGTCGAGCGATAATCTCGTCTAGATCTTCAAATTCCTCGTTGCCTATCCATAGGCTTTGTCCCAATGAAAAAGCATTCTCTTTACCCTCCTCACGAACATCGATGTGCTGTAAAATGTCATCAGTGACTTTCCACGTGACTGTCAAATGGTCGGCGCCTTTGCTGCTCGGTCTCACTATTGCCTCGCCCTGCTTCATTGTCTGCATTAATTTTACAGTCTCGGCAAAACTGATATTATGGAAGGATGGATGGACGATAACGCGTTTTACATAAATCTGCCGCTGTTTTGCTTTCTTCGCGTCCTCTTCTACCTTTATATCTCTTTGCTCGGATTCGGTGTCATAAAATGGATCTCGCTGTGGCCTGCACATTCAATTACAATTTATAATAATATACACGGTAATATATTTTTAAAAAATTATATCACTATATATTTTAAACTAAGAAATATGATTTTTTTATTTTTGCAGACTTTATTCATGATTGTAAAGATGATAGATCTAAATAGAAATCACTTTATTTATTAACATTATTTTGTATGTCTATATAGTCTACTCACCTCCATTCATGATTTTTGTCAGCGAGATCGCTGCTCTTGCTGGTACATTCGACACTGAATCGATCTACTTCGATTTTAATGATCCGGCAATGAATAATCTGTCCCATACCGACTCTCTCGCAGGGGTTTGCGACGTGCCGGTCCGAAAGATTCTTGATGTGAATATAACCGGAGATACCATTGTCCAGTCGCAATCTCACGCCGGTAGCTTTACCCGGACAAGCGCCAGCATCGAAGTGATTCCATACCTCCGATAATTCGGGAAAGTCGTTCTTCAGGCAAAAAGGACATTGCCACAGACCAGTCTCTTCGTTTCGCACCGGGTTCGCCTGATCAAGCTGATCACCCTGTGGTTTTCGATGACTGATGCCGACCACGGTAGCCAACACTAACTTGCCGACGTAAAAAGTCTCGGGTGTTTCCTTTGTCAAAACATCGAACAATTTTTCCGCACTCGACGATTGATATAATACTCGGAGATCCTTGTATCGA